ATGGCGCAAATGGTCTTGTTGTGAAACCTATGTCAAGGAAACAAAATTGAGTTGTTTGGAGTTGAACACATATTCTAGCCATGACTTCAGGTGCTCCAAAGTCGAAATCGTAAGCACAAGGGTTGCTGCGAGGGAGAAAAATTGGACTCAAAACAGGTTTCCACTATACACTGATCTAATACATTGATACATGAACCATTGTTATGATGTGCGAACGTGAGAATAACATCAATTAATATACCGAATGTCACACATTTGCTTTCATAATTTATACGCAGTATGTTGACAGAACGTGGTAAAACTCCACGCTAGACCCCGAAATCATATAACACGAACGGTCCAGTGTCATGAAAACACTGAACTGGATTTGCCTTACTCCAGTAAAAAAGGAAAGAAAAGAAAAATATATATGTATTTACACACACACACACACGCACACACACACACACACACACACACACACACACACACACACACACACACACACACACACACACATATATATATACATAAATATGTATATGTATATATTAGCACAAAATACATAGAAGGGTCGGGCAAAGAGAGGGGTATTAAAAAGATAAAAAAGTAAAACTTCTAGAATAACAGCTGTGAAAGAATGAAAAAAAAAATCTTTTAACGAGAAAAGAAAAGGAAATTCAAGTAAACCGCACAAACACAAGACAAGTGAAAACATGATAAAGTAACTAACAGTTCGCACGAGTTTTCGCTCCCAACCAAGGAATTGGAAGAGCTTGAGATATACATGAAATAGAAGACAGGACCACTGGGAATTAAAAAGATAACCAACGATGGTATTATATTTTATATTTTATCTTGTAACTCCTTATTTGGTAATTTACAGAAATAAAAAGGAAATCCACGCTTTGATGCTTAAAAAGCAGTTTGTTTCAGCTGTCAAAGAGCCTATCCAAACGTAGGCCTATCCAAACGTAGGCCTATCCAGTGGGCTTATCCAAACGTAGGCCTATCCAGCGGCTTCGTACAGAAAAAGTGACAGCAAACTCCAGCTGCACAGCATTTCAGATCACCTTCACACTCATAATCACCCCTGCAGCCTGTTCTTCTTTCAAAACCCAGCTTGTCGGGAGAGAAGTCACTGTAAGAGATAAAGGAAATGGGGAGTTAGGAGCCAGTCGGTTTTATCTCCTTAACCTAATTTACACATATTTTACATTATTTTACACATATTTTACATTATTTTACACATATTTACATTATTTTACACATTGTTGCATTTACGTTCTATTCCTGGTCTATCCTCACTGTTCAACACAAGCTGACCTGAACTGCGGTGGAAAACATTAAAACTAAATAGATATGAACCGTATTCATGTTGACAAATGTAGAAAAGGTATGAGTGAGAATGAATATCTTCACAATACAGGAGATGTATTTGACCGGTTTCGATTCTATCTTCGTCAGAAAGACATAAATAAGATAAGGATAAGTCCGATATGCGAAGCTGAGCCTCGCCCGGGCTATGGGGGAGCCCGGCCTGTGCCGACAAATGTCGACTCGATCAACGTGTGTCAGCGAGTGCTGACGCGACAGAGCTTAGTACTTACCCACCGTGGTGCCCAGCCACAGCAGTAACCTCCGGGCGACAATTGCAACTTCTCGCGCCTGGGCGGGGCGCGAACCGCCGACCCCTCGGATGAGAAGCCGACACGTTACCACTGTACTAGCCTGGAGGCTCATAAATAAAGAAGATAAGAGAAAATACAAAGCATATATATACTACATTGGAGCTGATAAACCACCTGACGGATGTGACCTCGCACTCGTTATGCGCATAATTGCTGCCGCGACTTTTAAATCTGCCCGACGCAGTGTTCATATAACAGTAAATACACACACACACACGCACACGCACACGCACACGCACACATATACATATACACATACATATATATATGTGTGTATGTATATACACACATTATATAGGGCACATTAGGCAAGACATTACGAATCAAAACATGATTAATCATTCAAATTTTATTCTGAAGCATCAACAATCTCTACCAATACAGACGGCAAATTAATTGACAAATCGACACAGTCTTCTGCAAACAAGGCTGCGGCCACTGTGCGTGTGCTCATTGTGAACCATGGTTATCTCCGAGGCAATCGAGTCTTCTGGAACTGTCTGTTAGCCTGAAAAAGAGAAAAGAACAGATGTCATAAGTCCACTATTCTGTAGAAATTCATACGAAATAATAAACCCGGAAAGTATTTACTTGCTTTCAAAACTGAAAGCATATACTGAAAATATCGAATAGATAGCAGACTGTTCCAAAACCAGATCCGACACAGATACTTTTCCACACTTATATTCACGTTCCTTCCTAACCACCCCAAAAGTAAGGATAATTATATACACCTACCATGATTTTTCTCAGTTATCCGATCGTTACCATGGCTGAATACACACTCTCCCACCAGCACCAACCCGGCAACATTTTTCAACACCATAACA